GATTGGATGTTACGAAGAAATCCCAGGCTCACTGTACTGCGACCCCGATGAACCCACGACAAACTTTCGCCTTTCTCCTTCGGTTTTCTGTGAGGCCATTTGACGAATTCCATTCAAACCAACTTTTACTTCGAAATGAAAGTCGAGTCACACTAAATATCGAGGGATCTTCAAAACGCAGCTTTTCTTCATGTATGGGAAAGTTTATCCGTCAGGCTAGAGATGAAAACGTTGTCGCGTTCAGTAGGCAAAGATAGGAGGAAGATGAAATTTGAACCAGCGCAATCCAAGACGAAGAGTTCCCTTCTCCACCTACCTCTCTAGAAGGGTAACTTTTCTGTTTAAAGAGAACACTCGAAGCAGTGGATATCCCAGACTGGTTATCATGTGTTGAGATAACAACGACAAGGAACCTGATGTGGACAAGAAGGTGGAACTGTATATTAGTTTGAGTGGAATGTTGCTGTAGAAGGCGGGCACTGACGAATCCTAGAGGTAAAAAAAGGTTGTCATGGCTGGGGCCAAGATAATTTTTCGGAGAAAGATGGCACAAATTTGGGTAGAATATGATTCGACTTTCAATTCGAGTGAAAAGTTGGTTGCAAGAGATACGCGATTCGGCTCTGTCTTGGCTTAGTGCATTTGATGTGATTCTCGTAAAGGTTGTTTTCTTGCTCTGCATATCTGTCAATACGGGAAAGACGACAACTCAACATTGATTCATCGGAGTCGCTCTTCGTACAATCCAAAAGTGCCCACCGCAAGGCACTTCGGTTTCTGATAAGACCGTTTCAGCGAGCTTTTTCTTAGAAATGAAAAGAAGAGTCGATTTTTCTAAACCTTCATCTACACAAAGTAGGGTAGAAACTGTAGGGCGGTTAGCATATCAACAGCCAACACAAACAAACATGCATGTGACCAAACACATGGACAAAGCAACACACATTTGAGAGGATGATGATAGCCAGTGACCAAAGGGGAAAGATAAGTTGGCCAGACTGAGTAATAGTCAAATCATTAAAAAATTCTAAGGAACCTCGAGAGAAGTAAGGATAAGCTAATCGCCTTGAAGCCTACTCAAAAAAGAACACGAATATAATAACCCTGCACTGATTTGGCGCTAACACTAACACACCAAAGTGCCTAGTTTAGAGTATTTTTGGCCGTCTTTGCCTCTATTTGCATCAGTTCTTGTGAAAGGGTCTAATAATAGTCTCGAAACATACTGACTCGTATACACGACTTTGGGGCAAACAAAAGTAATGTAGAGAGACGTCTAAATTTTTCTTCAATAAAAAATTAGTATATGCTAAAAAAGTTGGGTTTTGAGGAATCTCTTGGTTCATAATTGTTGAGCTCGTCTCCATTTCGAGTCAATGTGTTTGGTGAAGAGATATGAAGGTCGATGTTACCAGAAGACGACAGCATATTCCGCTTGACTTAGTGGAATATTTAGTGGAATATTTTTGTTGACGCTGTTTCCGAGACAATCTCATCTGATTACGGTGAAAGCATGCTAAGCTTTCGTCTGTCGTATAAGGGACATCAACAGAGCAATCATATTCAAGCTAGCGAATCGTTAGCTCCAATTATGTCCGCCATACAATGCGCGAAAGCTTATTTTTTCATCGGAATAAAGAAAGATTTCCTCAGAAACGGCGCCAATGAGAATGTTCCAATAAAGCCAATCGATAGTTGGTCAAGAAGAATCCACTGTCCTCTTCTGGTGTGTTTGATCTGCCAATTTCCTCACCAAACACTTTCAGTGGAAATGGAAGTGAGTTCAACAAAGAAAACTGGGCGGGTCCGAAGTGGCTGTGAGAATTGAGTGAGGCGAAAGAAAGTTCAAGGAAGCGTTCAGGAAAGCAAATGCTGAGGAATCAAAAAAGAGAACAACAACTAGCAAGGAATCACGTATGAGCTCCAATTAATCAAGGACGATTCAGCCCTCGGCGAGGGGTGATGTTTCACAAAGGCCTGTTAAGATGGTCATGGCGACAGGCCGCCAGTTCCGGAGAAGGATCACAAAAGTTGACTAAGGCGTAAAATAAAGTGACATAACTGAAAGCAGGACAAAATTTTTTGGCATGCAATAAATGCAATAGCTCTGGCAGAATTTTCCCCAGAACAAGCATCATCTATTAGGATCGGATAATATCATAAACCAGGGCGTTACATTAATAAATCTAGATGGTCTGTGAAATAGGGCGATGGGAACGGATGTTGCCAACGTGATGGAGCCAAGATTGAAGAAATACACAAAGGATTTGAGATTGATAAACGATGCTTTACATCAAAAATAACACATATGCACTTACCTATGTATTAGGGAAGCTAGCGACGAAATAAGCAGAACAGACTGGAAACAGTGAGATTGAGGCTGAGATAGGACAAGATAGCAAAATGGCTGCTTTGCGCCCATTGGTCGGTCCGATACTGGCAGTTCAGTCGCCGCCAGCTCCTCATTGGTCGGTTGGCAGGCTGCAGACGACAGCCTTGGTCTTGGATACGGCTATTCGGCGACGGGCATTGAGGTTTACCGAGTGGATCGATGAGGCTGGTGGCTAGGGTTACATGCACTGGATAGACCAATGGCCCGTTGTCTTGTGACGTCGGATCGTCGGCTCGCCGGCCTAGCCCAAGAGCCTACTTGCACCCTGCATACTCATCTCATGCCCCAGAGAAATGTTTGTTCTCTTTTCCTCACATTGATTAGGACATCCATTAAAGCTTGTGAATCTCGACCAGGTTGTGATTCTCGCACAGGGAAAACGGCTTAGGAACAATGAACAAAATGCCGACCAAATTGCTAAGCTAAATATCCCTCCGACAGGCCTCAGGACACCATAGAGTTGCCTATACGGTTGAATTCATTCGCTCTGTAGACCACGATTTTGGGAACAATTCTGAAGAGGAGAGTACGCGAGCCAGAGAGGGACATTGGAGATTAAAGTTAGAAAGCCTCGAGCTAGCCTGGCTCCCTTTCCCCTGATGGAATCTGAGCGCCACGGGCGCTTCAGCCCGTGTTGGATTGAAAATTGGGTAAACAAAAACTAGGGCAGCTACTACTGCTAATACTACTGGCAATATTTGCATTACAAAAATATCCTCCCGCTCAAAGTGCACCTCAATTTCGACCGTTTTTATTATCAATGCTTCAAGCGGCATTCTTGTCCAGCAGGTTATATTAGCAGAAGTTTAATAATTTATAATGTTGTATTTGTGTAGATATGAAGATAAACTGAATTTCGATGAATCTCCTGAGATAACATTGTTAGAGGGACTGTCATTTCGTATGAAAGTGCATGCAGAAGAGATACGTAGGTCGATCTGACCAGAAGAGGACGGATGAATCCCGTTGAACTGCAGCAGTTTGGCTTTACTACGACGTTCAGGTTGACGCTGTCTACGAGACCTCATCCGTCGTTTCTGTTGAAAAAGGGCTGAGCTTTCGTCCATCATATAGGAAGCCAACATATGTTGGCTCTTTGCTTAATTTTCTTTCCAACCATAGTTACAAGACTAAGGTTGTAATTTTGAAGTCAATGATGCTTAGAATTATGAGGCTAGGGGATAGCAAACAATTGACTAAAGAGTTGCAGCGGCTGAAAAATATATTACTGGAAAATAATTATCATATATTGAAAATAATATCTCTCTACTGAGGAATAAATTTTCAGACGGAGACCATTTAGTCAAAGATAGACAGAATGAGACCTTTTCCCATGTCCTAATTGTGCCTTAATGCCATCTTACAAAAAAGATAGGCGAATTAGTAAGAAAGTGGGGATAAAAACATTGCTTAAAGAAATCCTCACACTTTCTTTTGTTATGCCCTCTTTTAAAGAGAAATATGAGCCATTATCGAGATCCAGCTGCTACATGCTTGTTTGCTCATGTGTTCGATGCTGTGTTGATGAGAAATGCCAACCTATTCGAAAAAGATTGAGAGAACACAAAAATGCTTGAAAAGGAAACTGGGTTCAACGGTCAGAAGTGGCCAAACACATGGTAGAAACGGGACATGAAATAGAATGGTCTCAAACTAGTAGGT